GTCCTCCTCTTTGCTGGCTTGTCAACCCAACTTTCAGTCTGTCTTTCTCATGTCTCCTGCTGTTGCATTTCCTGTGTCTCTCTTGGTTGGTTTCATTCTGTTTCTGGTTCAGCTGACTGGGGCCCATGTGTTCAGAGCTTTAGTTGTGGTATGCAACGAGAGCCAAATTAACGCTGCATGTTGCCATATGAGAGACTGAAGTACAACAAGTAACACAGAACAGATGGACACCAGAGTCTGGTTGTTGGAAAAGTATTTTCCACTGATGTTGCACACTCCTCTCTTACTGTCAGTGCGAGAGAGAAAAAACGTGCACTGAAAGAAAAACACAGCAAAGATGGAGGGAGAAGAATGTGTAAAAATAAACGTAAATACAAGAATGCATAAGCACATATATTTAAACGCATTTTGACTTCAACCATGTAACTCCAATTATCTTGGTTTAATGAGGCATAACTCTACATTTGGCTTTGGAAATTCTTAGATTTTCTTATTACTGAGGGCTGAAGATAAGGGATCACATGACCCCGACGGGACGAAAAGACGAGGACAAAGCTTTTACCATATATGCCAACATATATAAAAATATGTGAGAATGCACAGAGAGAGAGAGCACACAGACAGACAGAGAAGGACAAAATCCAACAGCAACATGATACATAGTGTAGGCACACGTACACACAAGCATGAAATGAAACCATGTGGGAAAGATTAAGAGCTGGAACAAACATGCAAAAGCACAAACACACACACTCACACACACAGCTGAGATGAGAAGAGAGGGGTGTTATTAAGATGAAGTCTACAGGAGGTCTGAGGAAACATATCTGCCATCAGACTGTAGCAGTCTGTGGGAACTAACTCTGCAAGACAGAATACCACGATTTTCCTGGCAAGACGCTAACCTTGTCTGTAACCTTGACTACTGTACGTCAGATGAAAGGAAAACTAGGGCTCGGTGGTGTAGAAACAACTACCTCGGTTAAGAGAAAGTCAAAGCTGAGGAAAGTTACAAGATAACTCAAAGACCCGAGGAAAACTGCTCATTAAGATACTGAAACGTAAGCCATATACCAGAACCAGTGTGACGCATTCCTGTTTTCTTCCAAGCTTAAATAATATAAAGTAATGTTGACTGTTTATGGGTTATGGTGTCAGTTTGTCCTCATCCAAACAGTTGAGACTGAGACAAGATAGAGAATTTAAGGTTACAGTCGTCACCGAGGACATTATGGAGACATCTGCTCATTTCAGCTGACATAACAAGATTCACTTCTGCAATAAAATAAGCGTTACATTGCCTTGGCTATTTTTTCACTTCAACTGCAAACAGAACAGACATAACAAAACAAAAGACCTAAAACCTGCTTATGTAACTGTTAGTTTAAGAAGGATGGAGGAACAACACAATTTCAATAATTTCCCCAACAGAACAAATAGATCATAGGCATGACTGCATCGACTAGATTGTCATGGGGAAGACATTTTTGGTGCATAATATGTTTTTTTTAATAGAAAATCATGTTTGAACTATGCATGTCATCTCACGATAACATCACCAAATGTACTATTTCATAACTTAAAGCTTGAGTCATTATTGCCACTGCCATTCTAAACACTATAAAGTGTTAAACTATCACAGGTGACAGCATAATAATATTTTATGGAAGCATGAGATAGTGTCCTCGAATGAAAGCTATAGCTTCTTACAAAGTTAGATTGTGTATTTGTTTGTTTCCAGTGTGAACCACGACTGTAATGAAATCTTTTCAGTAATTTGTCAGTAGTTATTTCGCAATCATTCACACAGAGTACAAAGATGAAAAGATACATGGAAGCAGTTTGACGCTCTTTTCCTGCAGTTTCACCTCAGGCTCCTATTAAAAATAGGGAGTTGTTGTTTGGTGCATTCTTAAGGCATGCTATCACCCTCGGGCTATCTGAATTAAGCAGGTTAAAGCTGCATTTAGACTGACATTACCACTGCGTCAAAAACCCTGGCTCAAGTTTTGCCATGACAGGGCTCTGCGCCTTTACTGGAGCTTTCTCACGCGAATATATTATCAGTTTCCATGCAACTTCCTCTTTTGTGCTAAATTAGCTCACTGATATTACTGCTGTTTCTCACACATGAGGAGACACACACACACACACAGACAGACCTATAAGAATACATATGAACCCTACCCATGTATTGGATATTTTCTGTGCAGCCGATATACGGGTGCAGCGTGCAGGCATGCATGCTCACACACCTACACAGTCTCAGAAAGAGGCCACAGATGTGTGAAACCCCAATTTACATCCACAAAAAAGAAACTGTACCAACACAATATATAACACAGCAACCCCAACAAGTTTGTGTGTTTAAATGACTTCTTTTAGGGTGTGAACACGTGTGCTTTTTCTTGTGTACGTTAAAATGTGTGCATGCAAGTCCACAGCTCTCCTTCCTTTTAAGGCCATTCTCAGGGCCTTAACTCTCTGCCCTGCCAAGATTATACACACACACACACACACACAAAAGAGAGAAAGGGGGAGCAGCTAAGCAGTTAACTAAAGCAGCATTGCAATCAGCCAGGAAAACCCTGCCAATGCCTTCCCATCCTAATATATATGCATGCACGTACACACAGGCACACACACACACACACACACACACACACACACACACACAGGCACGCACACAGACACACACACAGACACCTCTGGCTCTATCATCAACTGAATTACCTCACGCACATGGTTAGGCTGCAGCTGGCTGAAGAGCTGAGGGCTGCTAAATATAAAACAAGCACACATGCATGCAACGTCTTTTTCAATGACCTCCGTTGGTGCCAGAATACACACTTGCACACACCCTGAAGAGACTGAACTCTGCTTCCAGTGACCTTACAGATGACAGCGGCTAGGACAGCAGTCAACCTAGCCACTCTGATTACTGGTTTGGGGATCTTGGGGGACTGGGTGTACAAGCACATGCAGCCTTGCAGCTGGCCTCATCTGGAAATATTGCAGGGTTTTATGCCATGAGGTCTCATGTGGGGAGCCAAGCATATATATTAGAAAGAAAGAAAAAAGACATCCTGCTGTACTGTGATGAGCTGTCAGGCAAGGCCAGGGAAACACAAGCTGATCTTTCTTGTCCCAAACTTACAAAGGCAAGTTACTCAAACAAAAATATTTCAAATGTAACACTTCCATATTTTGTGATTGTTGAGTTGATGTATTCATAAAGTAATAAGTGGAAAAGATGTGACCGGCTGAAGCAAGCCCCAAACAAACAGGAAACAGTGTAGGAGGCATATCAACTCACCAAAGAGTAAAAGAAGACATGAATGTTGCACATTCTTTGAGGTAGCTGAGAACAAAAATGGCTCACTCTGCAAATGCCGTGCTATGTTGATGCATGAAAATGTCTGTTATAAAGAAATGTGTGACAGTAATCCTTCAGTAAGGCACAGACAGATTACATCTATCTTCTCATACAAACAGTAGCTCCACTTCCTCAATCTGGGTAAAAGTGCAAACTACCTCCTATCCTATCTTAAAAGGTTATCAATGTGAAACGAATGATGGCGTTTTAACAGTGACACTGCTACTCAGCACACAAGGCAAGAGCAGACATGATGCTCTAATTAGTTTTCATTAGTTTGAGCTCTGACCAGACTGTCAATGTCAACTGTTGGCTTTTTCAGCTTGGTTAAAACCAAAGCCTGCTCAACATCACAGTATACTGGAGCTAAAAAACAAATCAATCACTGGAGGCAGAGATGTGATGAAAACCACTAGTACAGCGCACAGTTTTCTGAGACAAAGCTAAATGTCATCACAGCTTTGGTCTTGTTTTGTCATGTGGCAAACTGTACACCAAAAGGAGCTTCTTAGATGCGGCAAAACATCATTTATGAAAACAAAACAAACAGAGAGAAAAGAGATGATTTGAAAAAGGAGGGGGGGAAACCCCTGTAACTAAAACAGCTGGAAACAGGAAATTACTTTGTGCCTATGTGTGTGTGTTAATTTAGTGTATGTACATACATGTGAGATGCAGCCAGGCAAACTGACTTTAACCAACCGTTAAAGGCTTCTGTGGGTTTCAATCTTATTGATGAACAGAAACACATCTACAGAATTTTCTATCTTGCACAAGCTGAGGAACCTACCAGCTGTTAAAAGTTTCAGTGCTGTGCAGAGTTCTGAGAAAAAGCTAAACAAACATTTTCAAGAACTGTAGACACACGGTCCTCTGAAACACAGGATGACATCCTATGACAGCAGGTATCTGCTCTAAGAATGAAACAACAGTAAGAAAGTGTCATTGATTAAATGCTGCATACAGCTACACTAAATGTCAGTAACTTAAAATAAAAAACCTTAAATGTTAGAAATGTACATTCTGGGTTTCCAATTCGTTTCACAAGTAAATCTACTACTACTTGATCACAATTGTATAAGTTAAAAAGTGATTATGTCACTCTTCTTTGACACGGTATTTAACACTGACACTGCAAAAACTTGAACAACTGCAGCCACTTCTGGGGAACAATCATCGCTGCCGTACTGCAATATACAGTTTGAAACTGAAATCCCTATTTGGTTTCTATCTGAGAGTGAGATCAGAAGATACCACTCCTATGTGTGTGCATTCACTATGGAGCTAAAGCTAGGATGCAATTAGATAAGCATAAAGACCGGAAGTGGGGAGAAACAGCGAGTCTGGCTCTGTTCAAAAGTTGAAAACAATCTATATGCCTACAAACACTTCAGTTCAGTCACACAAATGTTGGTTTCAGTGTGTGCTTTTAGGTGCAGCTGCATGGTGGTACCATTTCTTGGTCAGATAGTCCCAGCAGGACACAATAATTAGACATATTTACATGTATGCAACATATATATGTACACATACATACATACATATATATGTGTACATACATCCAATAATTGCTTGGTTTATATAAAATATGTGTATAAATGTAAGCATGAGCAAATGTTTCTACCTTTGGAGGATCATAGAGCTCCAACTGGTACCTCTCCCCTCCTCCTCTTCCTCCTCCTCCTCCTCGAGCATCCCTGATCCTCCTGACCAGCAGGCGGCAGCGTTGCCAGCGGGGCTGAGAGTCTGAGATATTGTCATCCACCTGCAAGTACCTCAGTTGGCCCTCTTTACAGCAGCCGCTCACCTCTGACCTTCTCTGCCTCATGCTTCTGCTGCGGAGCCAACGGATAGGATCCAGAAAGTGAGAGGCGACCCCAGCGAAAGACACAGGTGAAGAGGCTGGGGGCGTGGCTTCAGAGTTCACACAAGAGGAAGAGTGGGAGGATGAGGAGGAGGAAGACACTTCCTCATTCGTGGAGGAAATCCCACCCACTCTGTCACTATTATTTTGGGGATTGCTGCTGTTGGTGGGGTTGGGGTTGCTAGGAGACAGGTCCTGGGATGTGGGAGGGCTGAGGGGCCGTTTCTTGAGAAGCCGGCTTATGCTCTGATGGATTTGACTGAGAGAAAAATGTGTGACTTCGGCGTGGCCAGGGTTGGAATTTGAGGAGTCCGAAGAGTACCGTTCAGATACCTGACGACGATCAGTGCCGGAGACGTCCTCATTGCTACTGCTACGAATCAGCAGTGACCCGCTGCCGATACTACGAGTCGACCCTCTGTGCACCAACGGGTTTCCTGATAAGGAGTTTCCCGCCGCACATCGCAGTGGCTGCTCCTGTTCCCGACTCACCACAACAGGCTCCACTTTTGGTGACACCACATTAAAGCGAGCAGCTCCTCCACTTGGCCGGCCCGCTTCCCGATAGTCCTGCACCCCAGACAGAGATGCGATCGATCGCATACGACCGATCACAGCCTGTGATGGAAGCAGAGGGGCCACTGGAGCGGTGGAGGAAGCGCTACCGGTACCGGTAGAGCACGTGTTCTGGCCGAGGGGCGTGCCATCTTTGTCGACCTCACAGCAGAAGTGCTGCTGGAAGAGGTCAGTGAACTGCTTGGAAAAGGTCTCTGGTGGGAGCACGTCATGTTGTGGCCGCTCTCTGGCGAAGCTCTGGTAGTGTCCGGCCAGCTGCCGGGCTGTGGCGATGGCATGCAGCTCGCAGAATTCCCTCCAGCCTCTCGGTGGCGCTTCCACGCCTGGGCCTCCTCCTGCAGTTGTGGTGGTGTTGGTTGGATGTATAGTGTTACCATTCATTGCAGTAACCAGACCGGCTGAGAATCACTGCTGTGAGACAAGGGAGGTTGAAAAGAAAGAGGAAAGGAGAAATGGATGGTTGGAGAGGAGGTGGGGGGTAAAAGGGTCGATTTGGAGACAAGGTTTAGAAGAGAAGGAGAAAAAAAAGATGATTGAGGGACAAACAAAAGAGAGATATGGAAACGCAATTAGAGGCAAATCAACATAATGTGAAATGTTGTGCAAGAACTGGAGCACTAAAGATAGAACTGGCAAAACAGTGTGCAGCATTTCTTTAAACTACTTGAAAGTTAGAAACAGTTCAAACATTGAGAAAGGACAGCCAAAAGTCTGATTTTATCTGTACTCAATCTTAAACAGTCCAAATTAGATTACACAGGCCTGCAAAGAATCTCTGGCAATCAACCAGTCATACAGTATCTTAATAGATAAGGACGGCCACAGTTCACTCAAAGGACGATAAGTAACCATTCGATTCGTGGAAAAAACACAGTCGATTGAATCAAGAGCAAAAGTGCATATAGTGCATGTATTTAGGGAAAAGAGAGAAGAGAAGAGAGAAAATGAGGGACGTTTTTTATTGGAGCCAATAAAGATGCCTAAATCAGTTCCAAATTGCACTGACATGGAGGACAGACACTGAATTGTTTGAAATGAATGAAAACAGTAATATGTCATTTGGACAGACACTGAATGAGACCGTGACTGAGGAAGTACGGTAAGAAAATTTCTCAATCGACCGCACTGCCTGTTGGACCATCTGTGTGTTTGTGTGTTTACATGTGACCTGCTTCAAGGTTCCTTCTGCTTTTTTCCCCCAAAGATGAACTCTACATTATGTCAAGACTATTACATGGACTGTGATTACTTGCACTTTCATGCCCAGTTTGTCTCTTTCTCTCTCCCCAAAGAGCAACAACGTTGGTGATAAAGCTTATAAAAAGGCCAAACAAAGATCATGTTCACACCTGGCCTGATTTGAATTATACTGATGAAGTCTATCCTCCGAACTCTGATTAAAAATATGAAAATGAACCAGTGCTGGTACCGCAGTAAGCTCTGTGGATTAGATTGTTGTTAGTTGGGCCAGGGTCAGATCATGTTCTCACTCCATATGCAACAGATGATGATGCAACATGCTTGTTTACCTCTAAACTCTGCTGATCCTCTGAATATCTGACTCGCGAGGTGAATCATTTAGAATAAGTCACTGTCCGATCGGCAGCTGAATCGATTGTTTAGTTCATTAACGGCCAAAGGTTCATTCATTTTTCTGGCTGCTAAATGTTCTTTTTTTTTGTATTTTTTGGTCACTTTTGGTGTTGGAACAAAGTTTCTGGCATCCTGGACTCGTGTCATCTTGAACCCAGCGGCTACCAGGACGTCCCTTCTATTTTTCTCGTTTTTTTGGGGGGAGATTTTTGAAGCGACACCTTGCCTGCTCTTACCTTTCCACCACGGTAAACTAACTGCTACTTTTGTAATTAGAAAGAAATGAGACAAAGGTTTAAGAGTTAACCACATAGTTTCACAGAAAAGAGGAAACAGGATGCATTCCTAAGCATTCAATGAGAGCCTCTATCCCCATCTTTCATCTTTTTAAACACCCTCTTGCCATTCCCTGATGTGTCTATACGCTGCTGACCCCGAGTACAGCTCAACCCATACTTATAGATGATTAGCAGGAGGAAGAACACATTTTCAAAGAACCACAACAGGCCTGAGCTGATGCAAGAGTGAAGCTTCTGGGTTTATGCAGACAGCCCATAGATGATACAACATTGTATAATCAGCCACAGAGTTGCTAGAGCTTCACATTATTGTCATGTAGCAAAACAATAACATTTATACGTACTTAAATTAAGTTTCATCGAGATCTTTCAGAAAATAACTTTAGCATGGCAGGATTTTGCAGTCTTTTTGCCTGCAATGGTTTCAACAAAATCTGTCAAAAGCAGGTAAAATATCTCACTTACTGGCAGAGAAACATCGTGTGAAGAACCTAAAGATGTCTTCTAAGATTCCAACATGGATTATATAATAACTGCAGCTAATGTATACACTACTGTAACCCATGCTTCCCAAAACTGAGGTGCTGAAGAGTTGAATACACTCACAGTAAGACATCAGCTACAGTCATATTAACAAGGGTTTATCATTCTGAAACTACATGTGCCTACAGTACATACCATCTTCTTCCAGTGCAGCAGAGAAGGGTCTATTCTAAATACAGGAAGTACGAGTGAGTGTGTGAGTGTGTGTGTGTGTGAGTGTGTGTGTGGGTTGGTGTGGGGGGAGTTATAGACTGTGGTCCAACAGATCACAGAAAACCACAAGAAATAGAAGGGGGGGGGGGGGGGTCGTTGTGGTTGGGCCAAACATGGAGCAACATGTCTCGTTATCTCTCGGCTAACATCTCCCTTCCTCTCTCCGTGTCCTGAACGACGACATTCACAGAAGAAAAGTGGTGCATTCTTGAAATCGTGTCATGCCACCATTTTTTTTTATTAGTATCATCAAACATAGCAGGGGACACGTACGTCAATGAGGGAGTGAAAACTTGGCAATGTGAAACATTGCGTCACTAAAGTTCCTGGATGTGTCCTGTCACAACAACTAATTCTCTTCCTGTACTTTTCAGAGCATGCTCAGTGCGTGCCCCCCTTGCGCCCCTCCAGCTGGCCCCCCCAGAAGTCTGTTTCTATCTGCCTAGCCAGCCCAGCGATGACTCAGCACTGACTGACTACAGAACATGCACACACACGCACACATAAACACACACATATACAGACACACACACACACTTCCTCTCGCCGTATCCCTCTGGGGGCTTGGCTGCCTCTGTTCCCATGGTTTTCCCTTTCTTTTGATCCTCTGTGTCCTCTGCTGTGAGGATCTCCAGATGTGTTTGGATTCGTGCTTCCTTTACTTTCACCTTGACTGAGGGCCTAACAGGGTCACGTTCAAGTTGTGAGGGAAAACAAAAAGGCTAATGCAGTTTTGTGTCTCGTTCCTCCGCTCTCTCATCCAGGACCTCCTCCCCTTAACTCGGTGCTATCCTATTATTGTTTTGCTAGACAGCATTCAGCAGGATGACAGAAAGAATAGGCCAATTCAAACAAACAAAGTTGCAAATGGAAAACATTCCTGCACATTAGAGTCAACGTTCCTGCATTCCCTCTTTTCTGTCTTCCTCACCTTACTCATGGCTCCCTCCTCCTTCTCTTTCTCAATGCCTTCATTCTTCACTGTGACACACACACACACACA